ACCCTGCAGGAACTTTTTAAGATGTTGGATGTGAAACATGTGCCCTCGACAGCATACCACCATCAATCAGTTGGATCCATAGAAAGGTCACATAGTACATTTAATGAAGATCTTTGTTCTTATGTATCATTAGAGCGAGCGGATTGGGAGAAATGGCTAAAATATGTTACATTTTAATAATACTCCGATAACAGTCCATGGTTATTGTCCGTATGAACTGGTTTTCGGCAAAATACCGCCTACCATTAAATTACAATATGACAAAACGGCCAATCCTTTACACTTACAAATAGGAGATTTAGTACTTGTAGAGAATAATGGCAGCCACAAATTGGAACAATTATTCAAAGGCCCCTACTCGATCAAAAATATCGATTCTAATGGGAATTGCTCACTGTTATTGTCGGACAGAAAAAGTATTGAAGTACATAAAAATCGTTTAAAATTGTTCCATACATTGAGCAATAACTTTAAAGAAGGACAAAATTTTTGAAAACATTATTTTTACCTGCTTCTTAAATATACGTTCGTATGAGTTAAGCATATACTAACAATACATAAAACATGAAAATATAATAATATAATATATAATAATATATATAGACATACTTTACAGCAATTAAACTTTTCAATTCGACTTATTAAATTCATATATAAGAATACATCTATTAACTTATGAAAAAATATATATGTATATAAATATAAAAAATATATATGTAATATATATACATATAAAATAGATTTTAAAAATATCGCTTAAGTCAAACAAAAATTGTAACAGTGTTTGAAAGGTAATAAATAATAAGTTATTAATTCTTTAAATTCAACTAAGAATAATCAAACCGTTAATTTTTCTTTGTTAAAAAGGGAGGTGTAGTGTGTTTGATTCATGCATGTTGTCATACCTTCCATACGACAACGTATGGAACGTTGTCTGACACAGTTGTCCAAGTTGGCATACCTTCTGTATCCAACTAATAGTATGATTTTACTCAAGTTGCAATACCTTCAGTATGTAACTTTACACCCTCACTTTATTGAAGTGTGTTGTCAGCACTACTGCGAGATAGTAAGCATGCATTATGCTTATTAAGCGTTTAGCTTAAGTTAATTTGGATAATATAATATAAGAATAGTTCTGATTGAATATTTGAATAATGTAAGGTGAAGTCGCATTTTGCGGCTTCCCCAATAAAACCAAAATAGTTTTTATTCCATTATCCTGTTCAATGGATTTCTTCAGAAATGGCCAAATGCCTCGGAATGTGTCCATTGACCCACAATTTTTATTATGCCAATGGATAGCACTCTTTATAAGCTTTCCATTGATGTGCATGTTGGACAATGAAATTATCCTGTTCAATGGATTTTTCCAGAAATGGCCAAATACCTCGGAATCTGTCCAATCTTCCTACACTTTTTATAATGCCAATGGATAGTATTCTTCATAAGCTTCCCACTGATGTTCATATTGGATTGGAAGAATTGTTTTAAACCATAGTTTATCTAATGCCACAACTACAAGTTAGCAAGTCAGCTTTTCATAAATCTTATAATTAAAGTTATAGTTATTGTTCAACATAAAAAAATAAATTCTAAAGACTAAACATTAAAAAATAAGAATTTAAAAAATAAAAATTTTCGTTGTTGCAAAATGGTCGGGATTTATCCATTTATTGTTGTTTTTATAAAAACAACGTTTGTTTATTAGTGGAGAACGATGGTAATGTTTACCAGGGGGCAAGGCAGGGAATACCTAAGTTTCGGAAAGAGCCACCAATCCTCATGAGTTCCCTTGTTATTTGTCTGGGATATTCTCCCCAGAAGTTATTTTAAAAATAACTTCTATGACAAAAAACATTTTTTACCCAAGTGATGAGATCGTAAGCGCAATAGAAGAGGAACCAAAGAATTAAATAAAACTAAAATTATTTTGGTAAGTCTTGTAATTTTACAACCGCACTTATAAACATTTACATCTTTCTCCACTTGTTATGCTTTCGTTCAACCTGAACGAAGTAGCATAACCAAAGAATTTTAGTTTTATTTAATTCTTTAATTCTATTATCCAGCATAATAGAGAGCTTATGGAAAGTATTATCAATTGGTATTTAAAAATTTCTGGAGATATTTTTTTTTAATTGCCTAAGGAAGAAATATTGGCTTGTTGCCACTGCACAGTGGTCGCTACCATTGGCCAAAATTCAAAAAATTAAAAATCGGATACTTATTGTCAAATGTGTACACATGAACTCTTATGGGGTAAAGTTTTTTAGAAAACATAATAATCATGGCTTCATTCTAACGGCCCACTTCGAGCATAGCATAAAAAAAAAGAAAATGTAGTTAGTAGTAGTTTTCAGTGGGATCAGTGCAAAAGTGAAGTGAAAATAGAACTGTAATTCAAAATTAAATACATTTCAAAATGACAAATCTTGGCATAATTATTGAAAAGCAAGGTATTGACTTATTTTAGTGCAGTTGTTTGTGTGTTTACTAGTTGTGTATAATATAGAAGATGTGCGTGTTCTGAGTTGCCTTTAAGATTAATTTTGACAATAAAATTAGATTTCAGTTAAAGTTTTAATTGTCTTCCCCACTGAATCCTCCAATGTAATTTTTTTCACGCTATTAGTAATGGTTAGTTAACAAATACATATCCATGGTACTATTTTCCACCCACAGTACATAAAATTTCAATACATGCATCCGACATTATAAAATATGCTATGGTATCGATTGGTACCATAACCAAAGATTCATATTGATATCTGCACTGAAAGTATTTTTTGCCGCTGCTCTCATACGACCTCGACCACTGTGCACTGGAAGAAGTACACTCAGAAAAATTCTAATTCCTCAGCAAGAGGGGCATAATTTTAAATAGATCTAAACAATTGTAAGGTCTCATGAACAATATGGCGATTTTAATTGTGTAAAAAGTAAAGATCCGTCAGAAAGTAAGCAAAAATGGTTGAAAATCAGCCTACTTCTAAGGTTCCTATCTCGCACTCCTTTAGAAGGAACATACGAGTTTGGTGACGATATTTTGATCGTTTTACATTCTGTTGTAATATTTGTAAGCATAACTAATCGATGATTCCTAAAGAATATACCCTTCTAAAAATGAAGTTCACGCTTATACAGACAATAGAAAATTTACAACGTTTAACAATTTACAACGTTTAACAATTTTATGTCATGCCAGATTGGATTGGATAATCGGAGAATTGTCTAGTGGCAACAAGCCAATCTTTCTCCAAATTAGAACAATCAAGCTTCTGAATAGAATTGCAAGTTTTCGCAAGAACCCCAATATAAAAGCAAAAATGCAACTCGATCACATATTATATCCCGAAAACGTGAACCGTTATTGCGAAATCTTGCAATTATATTCAAACTTTTTGTTAAAAAGAAAGTTCGCATCGTAATAGGAGAAAACAACACAGATCTCCAACTAAATTTATTGCATAGAAAAGGTGCATCTGTTGTTGTTGTAGCAGCTCATACATCTGTGTTCGTTCGGTTTCCATTTTCTGACTCTATTCAATCTGGTTCTGCCTCTAAATCCGGTCTCAAAAATGGTTGTGACCATAACGAGACTGGAGTTAAGTGAGTTGGTTTGGTTGGGCAGCGAAATAGGTGCAGCGTGTCATGTGGACCTGTGCCACAAGCTGGGCAGATGTTCTACACATCGCTGTTAATCCGGGCCCAATAGGAATTTAGGCGGTTGCACCATCCGGATCGTAATTGAGCCAAAACTACTCGGGTTTGTCAGGGCAGCTCTCGTTCTTCAGCTGCGACGGGAGGGGGATGGTCTCCTAGCACAGTATTCACTCTATATCCTTCAGTGGCTTCTGAGACCGCATTAGAGGGAAATTTAGGCTTATTTCAGGTATTCGACAAGCAGGTATATAGCGAGAGGCTGCAGCTTTGATGATGTACCGGAAACACCTATCTGTTATCTGTCAGATGGGTTGGGCAGTTCTATGAAGTGGCGATTGGTATATTCTCTGAATTCTTGCCAATTGGCTTGCCCGTAGTTAAGGAAAGTGCGGCGTTCAGAGTCTATGAAGTCAGGTGGTCTGTTGATGGCGACAATAATGGGAGGTGGTTTGAGCCTAGAGAAATTACTGATTGCCAAGTTACGTCATTCGTTAGACCTGGGACACGATGGATATGTCCGGCGGACTGTGGCAGTCTCCCCTTATTGTGGTAAACGGGTCCCCATTCCCTGTGCAAAACATGGAGCTATAAATTTGCTTAGCCAGCGCCAAGCCTCTCTGGTCATTACCTAGGATGGAATGCCATAATTCATGACGGTTATTGCCTACCAGAAGTGAGCTCATATTAAGCATATAACGTGGGGCACAGCTTTTTAACGGCGGAATGTACACGTTGAGCACCTCTACCTTGGCGGTTCCACACTTGACCGTTACCGCATACAATCCATGTACGGTCACTAAAGTGAAGCTCAGGCTAGAAAGGTCTGTACTGGACAGAGAAGTGCAATAGGAACGCTAATCCTCCACCTCCACCTCCACCTCCACCTCTGGAGCGATCCTTCCTAAGTACGTTGTATCCATCACAACTTTAAAGCCTGCAGGTGGTACTTAGCTGCGTTTCCTAGATCGCTGCGACCTTGATGTTCTTCCGACTCATGAAGCTTACGATTTTGTTAATCTTACCTCGGAGACCATCACAATTGATATATATATATATATATATATATATATATAAAACAACCATGCGTATAACTAACAACATTTTATAATTTGTTTTCGATTCGTAAATAACAACACACATAATTGAGTCACTTAATGCATTTATAATTCGACATTTGTTTCTAATTTAAAAAATTAGTAAAAAAAACTCGTATTGTAAGAAAAATTTAATTTATACACCTGAAATTAAGTCGCAGATGTTATTTGAATTAGTTGCGTGCTAGATTTGGACTATAGGCATGATTAAAATTAAAAATATGCAAATTGTATACTTACGTTAGTTGGCTGTTCCTGATGATGCTGTTGATTCCGCTGAAGATCAGTTTCCCACGGTACATACCTATTACTGTAAGCCATGGGACCATGCCATTGGTTTAAAACCATAGAATTTCGGCTGCCATCATTTAAATGCATACTGTCAAAATTATTTTGATTACATGCCCTTATCATTTCTTCCTTAGATTTCGCCTTTAATGTTTTACCAAACGAACACAACCTTTTACGAAACACTATGCTAAGCACTACGATACTGAACAGAAATATGCTGGAAATTGTTACAACTACAAGAACAATTTGTGTATTGTACTCATATATATCTTTATTTTCTGTTGAGTATTTAATTGATTTATTAAGTGGTTTCATTTCCAAGTTATCGTTTAAAAGAACATTTTCGGTTGTTATTGATGAATTCTTTTGATTAATTTTTTTACTATGGGCTAAATCATTGAAGTGTTCATTATTATTATTTTCTTTTGTTTTTATATCTAACTGCCTTGGCGATTCATTATCACTGCTGTTTGTTGGGGATAGCTTCACCGATTTTAGATTTGATTCTTGGTTTCGAATTGATTGCACTCCAGGTAATCGATCGAAAGATGGCAAAAATAATGACACATTATGTATCACATTAGTAAGGGACGTAAGATTTCTAACATATTTATTTTTGCTATCATTTGTTGATAAAACGTTAACATACACTTCATTTTTTGCTGTAAGTTCTCCATCAGTAACTGTAATATATAAGAAAAAATTTTCTCCGCCCTGCAATAAACAATGAGTAGGTTAGATTAAAAAAAAGCATTAATTACTACTCACCCTTCCAACAAGACTCTCGTTAAGATACACAATACCTCCTACGGGATCTATACGAAAAGGAAGTCTAATCCCTTCATATTGTGCTTCAAGACCAAATGTAAGATCGTTATTCTCAGAATCGTCAGCACGAATTCGTGCGATAATTTGACCAACTGTTTCGTTTTCTGGAATCCGCCAATTCCGATCCGGTACTAATAATATTGGAGGTGTGTTTAGGTGAAAATGTTCTTGGCTTAGAACTAAAAAAAATAATGATATTTAGATTTTAATAATTTCCCGACAAAAAATAGCTTTAAATCTAAGCACTACTTTTATTTTATTATTTATCATTAACGATTGCTTTTACAAAACATTTATTTTCTTTTACAAAACATATTTTGTATCCTAATTTGATTTATATTAAATATTAGTGACACATTTAAAAATGTACATAAGTAAATAAATTATGTATGTGAGGGTATATTATATATTAATATTAATACACTATAATATATTAACTGTACTTACTTTATTGTCTTGAAAACTGGCAAATAAAATATTTTTCTTGTCTTTAATGGCATTTAATAATCGCAGTTTAGAAAGTTAAGCAACAGACGAGCAAATATGATGAAAATATTTTTTGAACATTTAACGCTCTCATTTTGCACAAAAAAAAAGGCATTGCAAAAGGTCTCATAGAGAGCCAAAAACAGTGTTGCCGTTTTGGCAATTTCCGACCAAGTTTGGTCGGTTTTAGTCTCTGCGTAACATTAATTTTAAACCGCCACGTTTTTTCTTTATTTTTGCTAAAGTCGATACTTGCTTTCCAAATAAGCATATTGTGTTGTGTGAATTTTTTTACGGCACACGGCGTAAAGAGAAGGAACGGCGGCTTTAAGTGTGACTCATACATTAACTAGCCATTAGACTCATTTAAAGGTTCACAAAAAACCAACCTTTCTCATTCAAAACTAAGACTGACAGAAAAAACATATGAAGGTAGAGACATTTTTTTTAATAATGACAAAAACTAAGTCATGTTTGTCGAGTATACTATTGTTATGTTCTGCATAATACACAATCTACTATCTAAATCAATATTGAATTTTTGGATCTTATAAACAACAATTTTGATTTTGCACGTGAAGGCCAAAGATGACTTATCCATTTTCCCCTCGTTTCAAAATTTCCAAAGCTTAAGAAATGTAATTCTGATTCAATAATAGCCCAGTGGTTTTTATTACGACTAAGTGAAACAGATCATTGTTCCGATTAAAATATCGATTTATTTTGGGAAAGTTTCTAAAATTAAAAATATATTGAATGACAACGGTTTTCGTAATCTCGCTGACTTTATTTTGAACTTTTTTCACATATTTCTGCCGCAGCAGAACATAACTTTTCCACGTTTTCGCTAATAAAGACAAAGCTTTGTAATAAACTAGAAACAAAAACATAATGCTATGTAAAGAACGCATTAGAAATGGTCGGTCAAAAAAAAAAAAAAAAAAAATAAAAAAAAATATATCGACTCGATCCTCACAGATCTCTAATCGTGCAGGAACGCTATAGGGAAGAGCTGTATCTTAGACCACAAGTACACTGTATGTATGTCACAATGGTCATATCTATTCTGACATATGAGTGCCTCGTCTGGTGGCATGCGAATTATTTCATGACTAGTGGTGCTTAATACCATTAGAGCGTTTTTCAGAAGGAGATTCTTGCAATCTTAGATCAAGGTGGGACAACAGTGCTCCTGACTTTTGTAGGCTCACCTAAATCAAACCAGACGGACTGAGAATTAACACCAAGACGAAACGCCTGAGTCTAGAATCTTCAAAATTTGCAGCAGGGTCAGTCTTGGGCTTTTGGAAAAACGTACTAAAAGGGTACGAAAATCGTTAAATGTACTAAAAATTGAATAATTTGTGTTACACAAACATAACGAGCTAGAATTATAGTATAGGGTGAAGGGATAGACCTAAAATTCTGAGATTTGATATTGGGGTCATTATTGTTTTCTAAGGTTGACGTTGAAGGAGACGTTGAAATAGTTATGGACGGAAAAAATGGATGTGGGCCCATTGTGCAATGATTTTACTAATATCCTACTCAGCAAACTTCAAAATAAAATGTTAAAGACTTTTTGGTGTAAAAGGTAAACATTTTCCTATTATTTGTTCAAAAAAGGTAAAACTTGAATAATATAAAAAACCTCGAAAAAATGACAATTTATTACAATGTATGAAGTTTTGATTAAAACATTTTATCAAACAAATTTTGAGTACTAAAACCACCTAACTAGAACTGTTGCAACGAATCTAGAATTTTAAGGGCACTTGCTAGTGCTATTTCTATGCATATATCAAGTTCAGCTACCAAGTCCTTGCCATGGTAAGGAGGCTCCAAAGAACTGGAAGCAAGGCTATGATTCAGGTTACTGAACCGCAGACCTATAGAATGCGGAGAAAAAAAGTCGAAGCCATCCTTAAATACTCTAAACCGAATTAGGCGAGTTCATAATTTTCTTTATCAGCTAAAACCGTTACAACGCTGAAAGAGGTGAATGAACAGGTGGACATGGCAGAGTAGACTGCAAAGTAGGCTACAGTGAGCGGACGTAAGAACGTTTTGCCTGTTGATTGCAGGATCGTCAATATGTTCAACGGATGGTAACGGATAATCTAAGAGTAGCGACCATTGATCAGATTGAGCAACGAGCGGTTTGGCCGTGCTGGGATCTACGGGGGAGCCAGCGTCACACCTTATAAATTTAAAACATAAAATCAAGGCTCAGTAATCTTAAGAAGAGTATTATTTTCGCTTCTATTACTAAGCAGGTCTAATATAAGAATCGTGGTAGACATATTGGCTGGCAACTGCAGCGTACCTGACTTAAAAATGGTATAACCGTGGTCCTGGTTACTAGACTATGTGAACAAAAGGTAGAGACGATGAAACACCTACTATGCAGATAATTCATGTTATCAAACAGGACACACCGATTAACCAAAAAAAAATAACAAATTAACATAAAAAAATAATAACAGAATTCACACAAAGCAAAAAATCAGAAAGGTATTAAACGAGCTACATAGAACCGGCCGGTTCTATGTACCGGATTGACTCGGAGGCACAATTCACCGACCAGGGGCCGCCAACCCAGCAAATACATGTTCGTGTTCGTCCATTTTTCTGACGTGGGAGCAACATTACCCGGAATGTTTGCTCCGTATTCTCTTGGTCCGAGCCGGGATCGAGACCAACACCAGACCATGGTTCTGCTCCGTTTGCCGTAATCGCATCCACCACAGATAGGTTTCGGTGAGATGCAACGGATGCATGGATTGGGTGCATTTCCGGAATTGTTCCGCCCTAAACCGAATACAGGAGTACAGCGCTAAGGACTACATTGTTTCCTGTTGTGTCAATGTAGACCCCAGTGAGTCTTCATCTTCGGCGTCCTCATCGTCGTCGCAATATGAGACTCCCCGCAATCTCCTCAACGGCAATCTACGCAGCAGTTGACGCCACACATTGCTGTTCAGCTTCCGGATAATGAATAATTTCTCCAGTTTGATTGTGATGGTCTCAGAGGTAAGATTAACGAAATTGTAAGCTTCATGAGTCGAAAGAACATCAAGGTCGCAGCGATCCAGGAAACGAAGCTGAGTAGCACCTGCAGGCTTCAAAGTTGTGATGGATACAACGTACTGAGAAATTTTGACATTCCGTCCTAGGTAATGACCAGAGAGGCATGGCGCTGGCTGAGCAAATTGATAGCTCCACGTTTTGCACAGTGAATGCCACAGTTCTCCGGACATATCCATCGTGTCCCCAGGTCTGACGAACGACGTAACTTGGCAATCAGTCATTTCTCTAGGCTCAGACCACCTCCCATTATTGTCGCCATCAACAGACCACCTGACTTCATAGACTCTGAACGCCGCACTTTCCTTAACCACGGGAAAGCCAATTTTCAAGAATTCAGAGAGTATACCAATCGCCGCTTCAGAGAACTGCCCAACCCATCTGATGTTCAGGTAGCAGATAGGTGTTTCCGGGACATCATCAAAGCTGCAGCCGCTCGCTATATACCTGCTGGTCGATTACCTGAAGACCAAAAACCAAATTTCCCAGCAGAGACAGCGGGATTAGCAAACGAGCGAGATGAGCTTCGCCGTACTAACCCTGATAACCCCAGAGTCAGGAAACTTACTCTGGAGGTAAACAGGTTAGTAGGTGAGCATAAGCGGAAAAAGTGGTTAGAACATCTGAAGCATTGCAACATCAGTACCGGAACGAGTAAATTGTGGGCAACGGTTAAGTCGCTCTCGAACCCTGGGAAAAAGGACGATCGGACATCTGTCTCATTTAGCGGCGTAGAAGTGACAGATCCGAAGAGGTGCGCGTGTTATTTTAACCGGCAGTTTGTAGAGCACCCCGAGAGTGACAGGGTTAAAAGAAGGATCCTACGCCCTTCCAGCCGAGCAGGTACCACCACAATTTACGTTGGCAGATGTTGCACAGGTCATCAGAAGCGCAAAGTCATCTAAAGCGCTTGGTCCTGACGGAATCTCAATGGTGATGTTGGAGCAACTGGATGAACCAGAAGTTGAGTATCTCACAAAGCTTCTCAATCTGTCGTTAGCCACCCTAGTAGTTCCCGATGCCTGGAAAATGGGTAGGGTGGTCCCACTACTGAAGCCAGGCAAGGATGCCGGCAAAAGTGATTCATACATGCCGATATCACTTTTGTCACCAGTAGCAAAGACGCTTGAGGCTTTACTCCTACCCAGCATAAGAGAGTGTTTCCCAGTAGCCGATCATCAATACGGATTCCGAAAATTGCACAGCACAACAACAGCTTTACAACCAGAACAGGCCGTGCGATAGAACAGTTATGGTGGCACTTTATTTATTAAAAGCCTTTGATACAGTCAATCATGCCACACAGTTCGAGGACATTGAGCGCACCACCCTCCGGCCAAGTTTGAAACGTTGGATAGTAAACTACATGTGTGGACGCCAGTCGTACGTGGAATTCAGAAACAAGAAGTCGAGCATCCGTAGAGTTAAACAGGGAGTTCCCCAAGGTGGGGTGATATCTCCGGAACTGTTTAACCTCTACAATTCTGACATTCCACGCCCTCCAGGCGGCATAGAGTTTATAACGTACGCAGATGATTGTACGCTCGCGGCGTCCGGATACCTTGTTGATCTTGCCGCCTTTTTCACTGCGAGGAATATGAAGACA